GGTGAAAGGTAGGCAACATCAAACTTGTAAAAGGACAGAACATGAACCCAAGGTGACAGCCAGTTCCTCATCCCAAGACCCAGCACATGCCATCTTCTGGGAGCCTTGGTCATTACAAGCAGGGCATGAGAAGAACCAGCTTCCAATGTCTGTTTCCATTTCAGGAGAGAAGTGCTCACAGGGACACCCTCGGGCAGCTGTAGGACCCAAGCACCAAACTTCCAGATGTGCTTCTCCAGAGGCTTGGAGCCTTAGGGGCAGTGATGGAAGAGAGGGCTGGTGGGTGGGGTGGGAAGGCTGGGCTGGGAGTTGGTGGAAGGCAGAGGGGGCAGGAAAGAATGGCGTGGGGGCAATGGGGGATGAATGAGCACAGAGGACCCTCACCAGGGGAACATTAGTAAGTCATGTTTTAAAAATAAGCCACTTACACAGAGTTCTGCTTACAAAACCCATCACTTGAAAGGACAATCCAGTGGCAGTTAGTCCACTGTGGGATTTGTAGCATATTTATCATCTCAAGGGGAAAACTGTGTAACCCATAGGCATTCACAACCACTCATATCTCTGCACGTAGCCTATCTGCAACTGGCCCTCACATGGAGTTATCCAATGTGACCTTTTATAAGTGGCTTCCTTTGCTCAGCAGATGGTTTCCAGGCTTCTACCATGTAGCAGAGCTGGAGAGCCTCCACAACTTCTCATGACTGCATTATATCTAACTGTTTCCCCTGTGCAAATGAAAAGTTAGACACTTCCAACATTCAGTGGCACAAAATAAGTATTTTCATTCCAAAAGTTACAAACAGGGCAATACAAAGGATTGGGACCAAAGCAACTCCAAAATGCAACAGGGCAAACATTAAGTCCTTATAATTCCATGTCCAGCATCTGAAGCAATCTGTAACAAATTCTGAGCTCCAAAGGGCTCAAGTGACTCCACCCCAATGGTGCTTCTGATGGTTGTAGCTCCCAAGGCTTCTGTCTTGGGCCTGCTTTGCTCCCTCCTTGCAACTTTCCTTAGATGACCCATGTTCCTGGCTTTCCCAAACTTCTGGGGTCTCCACGGCACCTTCAGCTTCACACAGCTTCACACACTGCCCTCTCAGGGGCACACTGCCTGGTCTCCCAGGACTTCTGATATCAAGGTGCAAGCCTTTTGAACCCTATAACTCTTGCATTCTGCATGAACCTACAACTAGTGCCATGTGGATGATGCCAAGGTCTGCTGCCAGCTAGAGCTGTACCCAGGCTTTCCTCTTTTTGGCCATAGGGGTTGAGTGCCTGGATCTCTGGACATTGTGAATCCAATTCTGAGGAACAAATTTTCTATGCTCTTGCCAGTCTGGAACCTGGTGTAGCCACTGTCATTCTGGAACATGGTGCTCTGTGGGTTTCTCCTTAAAGCAAAGTCTTTCATCTTCACAGTTCTGAGGCTGCAAGGAGTGAATACTTGTTGCTTCTTATGATGCCCTCAGGTCATTTTTATGTTACTTCTCAGCAGTCAAGACCTCCTCAGCTCTATTTTTGCATTCCACAGCTTTACTGGAGCTTTCTATCTGGCCAGACTCCCATTTTAAATCATATGGCTCTTTGCTCTTAATTCTTAACATAGATCTGGCTAAAAGCCCCTAATAATAGCCATGCCACTGCCTTGACACCTCAACATTCAACTGCTTTGAAATTTCTTCTTCCAGATTAATTAGTCCATTGCCTTTAATCTCAGTCTCAGGCAAAGTCTCTTGACAGGAGCAAAATGCCGATAAACTTTTTGCCAAGACGTAGCACACATCATCTGGAGTCCAGCACCCAATGCAGTCCTCCTTCCCGGCAGAAACCTCTGAGCCTGATCTTCACTAGCAGGATTCCTGTCAGCCTCTTGGTCTTCAGAGCTCTGACCAGAATCTCCCATACAGAACAGCTTAAGCTGTCCCAGCTGTACTCTTTCAGACAACATCTCTGAACCTTTCCAATCTTTTCCTACAAGCCATTCCCAAAGGCTCTTGAACCATATGGCCAAGTATAGTCCCAGCAACAACCCCACTTCTCTGACACCAACTTCTGTCCTGGTTACGTTTCTCTTGGTGCTGAGACAAAGTACTTGACACCAAAAGTTAAGGAAGGAAAGGTTTATTTAGCTCACAGTGTGTGTGAAGGTTTCAGTCAGTAATCAGCTGGTTCCAAAATAGGGTGGCATGGCACAGGGCCAACACTTCATGGTGGCAGAAGACAGCAAAAGCAACAAGAGTAAAGAAGGGGAAGACCAAGCCTCTTTTCCTCCCTTATGCTGTAAGCAGGCTATGCACCCCCTGCCCACAGGTGTAGCACTCACACCATCTTCATGCCATCCTCTTGCACAGAATGAGTATGTTTACAAAGTAAGGACCCTTGCCCCCTGCTGAGTCAGTTAAACTTCCAAACTTCTCAAGTTGACATGATGTACCAACCATTACGTATGGATAGGACATATTTCTTTTCCCACCCACCCATTAAGTGGTGACCATTGGGATGGTTTCCTCTAGTGAGTGACATTTCCTGGTAGCTCATCTGTCCTGTGGCAGCAGGTTAACTTATTCACCCCATTCACAGATAAGGAGCCAGAGGATGTCAAGAATTTGCCCAGGTAAGAGCTAGCAGTTTGGGACATGGGCCTTGAGCATCAGGTTTAAGGCTTCCAAAGTCATAGACAGAAATATCTCCAAGATACCAAAGGTTGTTCGATGGTAGTGCCTGCTTCACACTCCCCAACTTCCCAGTTACCCTCTTTCCTGCTCTTCTGGATTCATCTACATCGGCCACTTAGTTCATTCTTCCATAGAAATTATGGACTTATACCTCCACGTGTGCATTCACAACTGATGGAATACTCTGTCCCACTCATTTGAATTGTCATTTCCCTTATGAGTATGTTACATCCCTATGTGCACTTGCATTAAGTTTTCAGAATTTTCCAGGCCTTTGAACCTTTCATATTTTCTCTTTCTGTGGAATCCTTTTCCTCAACTTCTAGAGCCATGCTCCAAAGAGAACCATGTAGACATCCCTGAAAGTTGACCACCCAGAAAAAAGATTCTACCATGACTCCCTTTTCTCCTTTTTCCAACAGAAGGTAGGGGAAAGTTAATCCCCAAAACTGGGGAATTTATCAGGGAACTCCCTAACCTGAGTATCCAAAGCAAAGGCAGGGTGGGCTGGGCACATACGCCTCTTCCTTATGCAGGAGCAGACAGTTTCACTTACCACAAGGCCTCTACCACAGCCCCTTGTTGAATTTCCTCTAGCAATAAGGCGGTTGGTTCTTGGTGCTTCAGAACTAAAGATCATCAAGTGATAAGCTGAAAAGCAGTGATAAGTGCTCTTACTTAGCATGACTCAGGCCCTGGGTTCAATCCCAGGGCAGGGGGAGAGAGATAGATAGAGAGACAGAGAGACAGAGAGAGATAGAGACACAGAGACACAGAGACAGGCACAGAGACAGAGACATGGAAAGGGGCAGAAACACAAAGACAGAGAGAGAGAGATATGCACTCTGATCTCCAACTATGGTATTCTTAAAAGTACAGTGAGTAGTGGAGGAGAAAAATATATTCCAGATTTTTTTCTCCAAGGAACAAAATATATAGCATTTTCTGGACTATGTTGCTTCCTAAAAATCTTGAATTGTCTGTTGGATGGATACACAGTGAGGCCAGATTGTTTTGACTTCTTTCCCATAGAAAATCAGAAATCTTCATGAGTATATTTTTTTCTAGCACCCTCATTTCTTTTATGTTCCACCAATGGTTCTCTTCCTCTTCTAAATATACTCCCCTCTGTTTTGCCTGACATTCGACCCATTCAAGGCAGACTGAAAATCTGAGAAGCCCCAGGCTCTGTGCCAGCTCTCTGAGTGCAGGGAAGGAGGCTCAGGTTTCACTGGATTCATGTACCTAAGAAAAATATTATCCCCAGTGCCTATCACATGTGGAAGAGCCAGACTGCATGACCTCTGCATTGATCAGGGACACACTGGCACAAAATTAGGGGTGAAAGAATTGAGAGCAAGGTGCACAGGAGGAAATGTTTGCATCAGCTCTCTTTTCCACCTCTTTGGCGATTCACACTCATGGTTAGAGTCTAGTTGTCACAGCACCATCGCACTAATGAGAGAAGGATCAAAATGTGGAGGGGCTGGCAGTGGAGTGGCAGGAAAGGGAATGGAAAACAAACTAAAATGTGCTACGTACATGTAGCAACTTAACACAAGAGTAAGGGCTATGTATTGAAAATATGAATGAATAACTAGGTAGAAAGAAAGA